TAGATATATATATATATATATATATATATATACATTTATAATTCCTTAAAATGTTTCAGTTCAATTTTTGTCAACTGCTTCATTTAGGTTTAGAATATTGTAACAGTACAAATATTACAATAGAAAGAGAGCACTCAAAAGATAAAGAGGATATGTGCTTTGTTATTGAACGTTAGGGCTGATATGGTGGCAAGTTATTCAAAATATGGGGAAAAGAGTGGGTAATTAACGAAGCATGAGATATTGCTACCATGGGAATCAAAGTCTTTTCAAAAATTAGCTTGTGTCAGTAGTAATCAAGATCATGCTCTCATTATGCACAATACAGCTGATTTAATTTTTCACAGTAAAAATAGGATAATTATGTCTAAATCCATAATTCATCACTAATTACATAGTTTAACTCTTATTTACCACACTGCAAACCTGTTCAGTTCTCTTCTAAAGTTATACAGTAGTACGTGAAGAATGTCACCCAATGCCGGATGTTAGATTTAAGATGTAGCAGTCTGAGTAGAATCCTGAATTTCCATGATCAGCCAAGATTCACGTAAACAATGGTCTATATAATGACCAAAGGGAGGAACAGGGTGAAGCTGAATTTCTATGGCTTATGTCTCAAACCCCCAGGTGTTAGTGCCAATGTCAAAGTGGTGACTGTTCAGTGGTGGCTTTTAACAGCACAAAGACTTTGATGTCAAAATTAAGCAATTCAGCAGCCATTTTTGTACACTTGTTTTTACTACAGCATGGTGCACAGCAAACAATCCCACAATAAACTGAGCCATTTAACACTTTGATGGCACCAGAATGCATTTGTCGGGCATTAGGAATGTTTAACTAGTACCCTAGTTTGACAGCCACGTCAAGGGCCTTAGCAACTAGTAAGATTTTATTTGCACTTGAAAGATTTGAAATTAGTTATTACATGTTTTAACACTTCACATTTGAAGTTCTGTACAGACAATTTCCCACTGTGTATTTGCAACAGCGACATATTTTAATATATATACACTATATTACCAAAAGTATTGGGACGCCTGCCTTTACACGCACATGAACACTAATGGCATCCCAGTCTTAGTCCATAGGGTTCAATATTGAGTTGGCCCGCCCTTTGCAGCTATAACAGCTTCAACTCTTCAATCTACGCACTGTTGTTGTGCCAATCTGAAGGCCACACAAAGTTTGTAGGTATGTAGCGATTGACGACTTCTGCGCACTGTGCACTTTAGCATGCGCTGACCCCGCTCTGTCATTTTACGTGGCCTACCACTTTGTGGCCGAGTTGCTGTTGTTCCCAGTTGCTTCCACTTTGTTATAATACCACTAACCGTTGACTGCGGAATATGTAGTAGCAAGGAAATTTCACGGAACACCTGAATCCAATGATTTGGAGGGGTGTCCCAATACTTTTGGCAATACAGTGTATCTTAAATCTGGACGCAGCTTCACTTTACATACTGTCTCTACCAGCACACTAATTGCATGTTAAACTGACCCTTTAAACCCAAATGAATTTCAGACAAGCAGCAAAAAGGTGTGTTGGTTCTGCGGTTTCCCTACATTTACCAGTTACAGATATGGAAAACATTAAACATGAGGAGGCACATCTCCTTTGCATGTAATTGCTGTCGATGGTGCACTCCTACCACTGACTCCCAAAGATCTCATGGTCATAGAGAAAAATATTTAGCAGAATGGCTAATTTGCATACTGGCAGCACCCCCAGGGTAAAGGTGCCCACACACCTTGCGATAATCGTACGATAATCGCGGGAAATCCCGCGATCGTACGATTATCGCAAGGTGTGTGGAAGGCGTGCGACCTCTGCTACTGTAAGGTCGCACAACTTTAAATTTTTTTTTTAACATCGTACCATTTTCGGCTGGTTTGCGGCATGTTCGCAAGATAAAAGCTGCACGGGCCAGTGTGTGCAAGCGCACACTGCCCGTTTAGCATTGCGGTCATCGGAAACCCGCCCCTCAGCGGGGCGGGCTTGCGATGATCGCAAGTACGATCTGCCTGTCCAAGATAGGTGTACGTGTTTTTAATTACCTTACAACCATCGCAAGACAAAAGTCTTGCAATGGTTGTAAGGTCCGTGGCCAGCTTAAGGGAGTGAAAAATCTTTAAAGGTTATATTTAGAGATCTAAACAGCTTTGCCATTAGAACCTACAGAAATGTTATTTAGAGTTCTTTCGTACGTGAAATTATAAATAGATTACTGTATGTTTTTAGATGTTTTAAACATTCCAACAGCAAATCAGTTATATAATTATTGTGGTTACACTATACAAAATCTAATTTACCACAATATAGCCAAATCAGATTCAGTGGCATGTTAACATATGGTTGCATCCATATTTGGTGCTGGTATATACTATCTCATAGGTCCATCTAAATCAAAAGGTAGGGCCTTAAACTGTTTGTACTGTAAATTCTGATTAAAATACACCGTAGACAATGATTATGGAAAAAAAGTAACATATTTGTTCGTGTTTTTTTCGTATGGTTCTTGTAAAAGTTCAAAAACCCAACATCACATGCAATGGTACTTGAAATAAGCAGTCTAGGACAGCCTAATGAAAGGATAAGGTGAAACTTAGCTGAATCTAAACTTCACAAGGCATGCTAGAATTGACATCCTAGGTACGCCTAGAAATGACATCTGTTTCCAAGACACAAATTAACTCATAATTTGCATTGAGCATACTCACCGATTTATACACATTTCTTCCCCAGCACTTGGAGCAAGACAATTTTTAGGATATGCAGTTATGATTTAAAGTAGCGGTCGCCAACTGGTGGTCCGTGAGAAAATGTTGGTGGTCCCCGGGCCCTTCTGATGCCGTGCAGGCTGGGCCGTCATTGAAGCAGCATGAAGGCTCTGGGGCTGCCTCTCACTGACTCAAGCAGTGGCTGTCACAAGGAATGCGCGGCTCTCAGTACAATGCAGGCTCTTCAGGAGGCGGGGCATCTCGTCAGTACCAGGACTGAGCAGGCTGCGGGACATAGAAAAAGTGGAGAGAAGCTAGGTAATAGTGGCTCAGTGTGGGGGAAGGGGAGGCACGGGGGTGGTTGGGGCATGCGCCGCCAGCAGGGCATATATGAGAATATATTTATATATGAGGAAACAACAATTATGAGAATATATATATTTTTTTAATTCATTTTAGTGGTCCGCGGGATTTAAAATTATGAATCTAGTGGTTCATGAGGTCCGAAAGGTTGGCGACTGCTGATTTAAAGTATGTATAGAACTGCAGAGTAGTTCTCTCTCCTTGATTGATGCATAAAACACCACTAAAAATCTATACTCAAAGGGCATGTAAACATTTAATCGAGCTGACAGATCCACAGATCCCCCAAACAGGTCGTATTTTGAAAGCTTCCCATCATGGTAAAACCTGTGGTGATGGATTAGGTCACCTGTTAAAACAACATTAGCTCTGGGTACGAAACCACAAATTAAATAATTTTTTAGATTAGGCATGAGTAGTTTAAAAAACAACCATAGAGCAGGCAATGCAAATTGTAAGGCAGTGTGAAAAACTGTCTTCATTTTTAGTGGCTAGAGTGCAAAGTGCAGTCGATCCCAGTCAACACATTAGTCCTTGGTGCTGGCATCTCAGTGCTGTTATTTCCTGGTACCAATGATGTACCGGGGGGCAGATGTGGCCACCAGCAATATGCAGAGTGGCAGTGGAGGTGCTGGAACGCATTGGTGGTTGTGGCTGGTTTTACAGCCAACCACTTAACACCAATGCTTGGGGGGGAAAGAAGTAGGGGTTGCTGGGGTGGGGGGTTTGCTTATACAGCCTGTCACTGACCACCAATGTTGGGGAGTTAATTAGTATATAAGTCCCTTATAGACCACCAATGAAGGGGGATTATGGTGGCCACTTACACCAATGGTGGGGGCTATAATTCCTGCCAATGACACCAATCCTGGTAGCGTAGCTTCTATTACTGTCAATGAAATCTACACTGGGGCTTATTTTTCACCCGCACTACAAGCCATACACTGTGAAGCACTTATAAGTGGTCGGGGCAGCATATTTTTTCCTTCTTGATACCTGTAAGGCGTCATTCCTAACTATTTCAAATGTTGCTAACTATGCAGGAAACAGTATCTCTGAGATCTCGCATGTTGGATGCATGGATGTGCTAAGTTCAGATTCTCTGCAAAAAAGTTGAAACCGTGTGTATATCTGCTGCTATCCGTCCTCCACCAGCTAATCCTGCTCCCATCTAATTTTCCCACCCCAACATGCATGACGTTTAATTTCATGATTATTACTAAATACAATTTTGATGTATAAGTGGGAGGGGAGTGTTAAAAAAATTATCTGCCCCGGTGCCATATTTGCTAGGTATGCCACTGTTTGGGTGATGATATTATAGCGATAGGTATTCATTTAGGGGTTAGTTTAGTTTCATCCTTAGGGTCATAGTTTTAGGATTGTCAGGGGGTTAGGTCTAAGGTTATATGTTGAGATGAGCTTGGGTGTAAAATACGCTTGTTCATAGTGGATGACCTTTTCATAAGCATGAATAAAAATAGCAGCGCACATTTGTGCAAGAAAAAGAGCCTGGCGAGGAGATGACTATGTTTGGCTCCCAATGAGCTGTGTATGAAAGCTCTGCAGGGAAGGTGGGCAGTGAAGTGTAACACTGGGAGAGATTATTATGTTAGAATTAGGATGAGAGTTAAATTAAATAAATGTAAAAGGGTTAATGGATAA